TTCTGTCACCTAACATTTTTTTTTTAAAACCAAAAAAACAGAGAGAAATCTAAGTCATCTTTAATAATGATAGGACTGAGACTTTTTAAATGAAATAAATATTTTGTCACATATTAATGACAGAATTCCCTGAAAGTATTCCCTGATCGTGGTCATCGAACAAACACATGATGAAAAACATGACTACAGGCTTAAGCTTTATAAGGTTATCACTCTCGCACTCATAGTAATTTTTGTTGTTTTCTTTTCAAACAACAACAACCTTCTGTATATCAAATCGAGCTCTTTTGTGACCACTTTCCTATAAGAGATCTTCATAAAGTCTGTAAAAATTTCTCTATTTTCCCCTTTTTGCATTGTTTATAATTTTATATTCGCATTCGAATACTTTTTGTTTTGTAAAAGACGTTGTTAAAAAATAATTTTTATTTTTATTGGTTATGCAAATATTTCAAATATTTTTCTTTAAATAACTTGGTTTTGTTTTTCAAGGAAATAACTTCTCCATAAACAAAAACCAACAACTATTCTACAAATCATAACTGAACAATAGGGAGGGGAAGCTAAATAAAAAAAAAAAAAGTAAAAGGGAAAATAAACCAAAACACACAATGAGTTTATAGCTTAGGGTCAAAACTTGACTTGGTTTTCATATGCCATCATCTGGCACCACAACTGAGTAACTAAGCTTCTTATAGACTTTTTGCATACCGACACGTACACGTACACGTGCGCATATAAAAAACTTGATTTCATATTTAAATTTTGCATATATATATATATATATATATATATATAGTTGTGTGATATGAATGAATACGATGTGGTGTTTGGCCACTTGAGCACATTTGTGTTTGCCCAGAACGGAAGGAAATTGTATGTATTTTAATAGTTCTCTGTTACCTACTCACAGTTGTTATCTCTATGTCCTGTGTTTTCTTAAACTCAAATCCAACAAACCAAACAATTAAAGAGAAAATACCTGAGGGTGTGGGATTCTTCTCTAACTTGGCTTAGCTGGGTTTAGCTTAGTTTGTAGGTGTTTGTGTAAAGTATTCTTTCGTCTTTCGTCTTTCGTCTTTCGTGTTTTTTGCAAGCAAAGGTGTGGATAAGATTTTCAGCTTTTCTTTTAGTTTAATTGGCGGTATTTTTTTGCACTTTTGTTTTTGTTTTTATTATTATTATTATTATTATGACAACTATTTTGATATCTTTTAGTTGCATTCATTAGCTTAAGAAATTGGGCATTAGGCCAACATGATATGCATCACTTTCTTGGTTTTTCTTTTTCTTTTTGGTTTCTTTTTTCTCTTTTTTGCTTTTGTAGTTGTTCTTGTTCGTTTTTTCTTAAATAATTAATTAACCATTTTCATTTTTACATATGTATGTACATACACGATGCCGATCATCAACCAGAATGAAAATGTGTAATGTATTTGAAAAGTTTATTCAAAAGAAAAAAAAAAAAAAATGTGTTTTTTTTTCTTTCTAAATTAGCCATTAAAATATTTTTGAAATTCATTTCAATACATCGTTATAAACAATTTTATATATATATATATATATATATATATATAGCGAAGAAGAATCCCATTACACATTAGGCGCAATAATTTTAATATCCCAAGCTATGACTCTGCACTGTAAAGCGTATGTCTATGGCGTGCAGTAAAGTACAAAAGTGCTCCTAGTATCAATATGTATACCCGAAGTCGAAAGATACATTCCTCGTTAATGGTTCGTCAAGTCAGGGTAAGGCAATCAAATATATATAGAGAGAAGTAAGCTAAGTTAGCTTTGTAGATGGCGGTGATGGCGTGTTTGTTGCACAGATGGAAGCCCTCGACTGTATCTCGTTACAATGCTTCATTGACGAATGGCTCGCACGTCGTTACCATTGGCCGGCCAATACATTTCGTGCTTTGGCAGAAATCCCTCAGTGGATCATTAAAATACGATTTTTGATTAAAAAACCATTTATAGGAATCCCTTTTCATGACCAATCATTTAGGAACAGCCTCCTGTAGATCTCTACACGTACACAGTTAGGAGGAGAAATTCAAGAGAACGATAGATAGAGCTCAAAGCCTATGGAGCGTGTGCTCAATCGATGTGACTTTTTTTACAATTTGGAGTGTGATGTCATTTTGCGCGGAATGAAGGCGTGTATAAGTTCGAAGATTAAACTCGAATAGATTATTGTTTAAGAGATACTTTGTTTCATTCCCATTAATTTCTGTACGGATTTTCACTTATCTTTGATGAATTCATGCACAGTTTTGATGGCGTCTTCATTTACCACAAGTTTCGTTTGCTCAACATCTTAGTCATCATTTCCGTCTACCCGATCATTCTTGTAGCGCGTTTATTATTCGTGAACGCTGTTACGGCACAATACGCTCATCGCCATAGACATGTTTCATCATGTGGCGCGTCTCGGTAGAAAAGTTTTGGCAGAACTTAATGTTGACTCTTGGTTCGATATTCATTTTGGTGTCGATGCAACAAAGTCTTTGTCACTAATAACATTAATAGGGAAACATCAGTGAAGGTTGTCAAGTCAGACAACTGGCAATAGATGGCGCCATTATCATGCGCTAAAAACGTTCTGTGTACTTTAGAATGCGTCTCGTTACGAGGATTAGATTTTTGTAGCGAATCTTTTTTTCTAAGAGACTTTTTTTTATCTTAACTTTGTTTAGTGACCAGTCCCTCAGTGGGGAGACTTGTCTTCCAGGTATATAAACACCGGTTGATGGTCCGTTAAAGTGAAAGAGGGATAGGGTGCGGCTGCATCTTAGGAGATGTGCGTTTAGGCAAAGTGGACATGAAAAAACTCGGAACTCACAAAAACAAATAGACACAATGGCTGATATTCTTTAAACCAAGCTTTGAAGTCTTCTTCTTTAAACTAGGCTACCTTTTTTTTTGTAGCTAAATAAAGGATTTCAAAAAGAATAAATATATTAAGTTGACGAGAAAGTTCTATCCTATGCATCCTAAGTAGATAGAATGGATCATGTGGAACCTTATTATTTAACCTATTTCTCATGGAATATAAGAAGACTATTGTCATATGGTTCGTTAGTTAGTTGCGAAGAGTGAAGTGAATATATTTAATTGAAGATATTGCATTTGGTATGACTTCTATAAACGAGGCAATGGATTGGCTGCCTTTGAAAACATATGTGACAAGATGGGAAGTTAAACTGTAAAAGCTCGAACTTGCCAAATATGGTTCGGCTTCAATAAAAGATCGTCGAGGCAGACGATAATGACATTTTGCCGCCCATATTGGAGAATAATCCACATCTAATCACTTTGCAAGTGCAAGGGAACATGACATCGATCATTCGACTGCTGCATGGCACATCTTAAAATTGTGTGAGTGTGAAGACAAATTGGACCAACAACCTTAACACAGCTCTGCTGAGACGTTTACATTTGAATTTAAGTAGTTCACCAGTTAACTAGTGAAGTGTAATCTACAATATGTTGCAGAAAGCGCACAAATTTTTATCAGAGCCCTTTAAAAGTTCATACTCTACAAGTACTATCATCCCCGGGCAATTGATCGGTTTTTAATCTAGAAAATACTTTATAGACCTCATCGCTTATAACCAAAGGTGCCGAGTAAGCATTCTTTATCTGTTTGAAATACTGAGTCAATTTAAGAATATTCTTATGACCTTCGGTAGTTCTTTTATGTTTCGTTGAAAGCTGCACATCTGTCAAAGATGGAATAAAGGCTGACATACAATCCGCTTTGGTTAAGTTTTCGGATCAAGTCTGTAATTATGCTCTGCACAAATTAGAAACGTGTTTGAAAAAGAAAAAATCCATTCTATAGGCATTCACATAACTACCTTTCATAATTAGACGTTATGTTGGAAGTGATCGGAAAAGCAATTTGATCTGGACGATTTTAGATAGCGTTCGTTTTCCTAAACATATGGGTGTACTACCTTTCGTCAGAATATTTAAAAAATTGCGACTTGTAGGTTGAAAACAAAACAATAATACTGACAAACGGACACACAGGAAATGATAGTGAATCGATCGGTATTATATAAGGTGGTATGTCAAATACTTTCCGGACTTGCACTGCAGGAATTCAACGTTATCTTATATTACAACTGGTGTAGAGTATGAAAAGAAAGGTCAAGAAGATGTAGATAATATGGATACGGCATGGAAAGGGCAATGAATCTTTTGAGGCTAACTACGTAAGCACCGGTAGCACGTATTACCGTCCAAGCTCTGCATGGCAATATGTCATTGGTTAGCAGAAGAAGCAATTGTCTGGTGACTGCAATGGAAAGTTCAACAAATTCCATCTCAGTGATATTAACTTTTCCTATCAGTATCGGTTAATAGATGGGCATCGAAAATTCGCCCTAAACCTAATGTAGTTTATTGAGTTGTTTGCCTCTATGCAAAATAATAAAATAATTATATTGTTGTTAGTCTCATAAGATAACTCAGTGACGTTTTAATCTTGAAATTAAAATGCATTTAAATTTATTTAATAAAATTCTATAGAAATTCATTATTTACATTATAAAATGTATTATAATAATTAAACAAACAAATGCAAATGTACTCTCGCATATACAGCAATACACTCCTATATGCAAAGCATGTAAAAATCTGTAAATAAATTCAACGTCGTGTGTGCCTGCATCACACCCTCATACATAAATAGGTAAACTTTTCCGAATCATGTTTTGTTTACTGTTTATAGATATGTAACTGAGTCTGTTTGAAATATGGCTGATGTGATAGGTTATCACAGGTGCCAATTAGGTTAACGTACAATACATATAGATATTGTGACATAATCATAAGATATCTCACTCGTAATAAATGAAAGAAAGAAAAAAAAAAAAACAAAAAAGAAGAATTAATTCAATGCAATTTAATAAATTTTTATTCTATTATTATTTTTATTATTATTATTATTATTATTATTATTATTATTTTCCTTTTTCTCTTTACAGACTCTATGTTATTTCGTTGTACATTAAATAAAAACTACATTGGAACCTGCAAACAATATAAATCGGGGTAAATCAGATAAACAAAGAAAAAGAAGAAAAAGGAAAAGGAAACCTGCGTCATAAACACCGTCCAAAAAATTATAAAAAAATAAAAAACAAAATAAAAGAGTAACGAAAATTATAAACAAAATATTTTTATATGAAAGCTTACTTTAAAGAAACAACTACAACAAATCTATTGCAAAACTATTTAAAAGTTTTTAGATAAAAAACCAAAAAACCAAAAAATATCTTTAAAAACAATCCGCAAAGACGGCCTTAAAAAAAAAAAAAGGAATAGCAACCGAAACTCGGGATAACAAAGAAAGTAAAGAGAGCTTTCACTGACAAATTGCTTGCATAAGATTTTTCGAAACGTTTCATTTTTATTGTAAAATAATACAACGGCCATGGGTAGAAAGAAAATACAGATATCACGTATCACGGATGAACGAAATCGTCAGGTAAGTGTTCGCTTAAATGAAATGCAAAAAAAAGAGGGAAAAAATGTGAAAATTTTATATTAAACTTGAAAGAATTGTTGTTGTATAGCACTTACGAGCATCCAGATAGTCTCTGCTGATTGATGGGTACGATGTAGATATGAGATAAACAAAGAAATCGGAATTTTTTCATCAATCTGTAATCATAATGTAATAGTGGTAGTAGCAGTTGTAGTCAATTGGCAAATATTTTTCTATTCTATTATTATTATTATGATTGCATTATACTTAGACTAAAGAGAAACTGAGATGAGTACTAGCAAGGAAGATTATCTTCTTTTCTTCTTCTTTCAAAGTTAGACAAGGTGAATTCCATCTTGAAAACTATTACCCCTCTTAACGGTTCTAATAACGGGGGAAGGCATCTCGCCAAAAATCGTAGTCAATATATATATTATACCTTACAGCACTACGCCCCTACTATTTATGTTAGGTATAGTATACGATGTTGGTAAAAAATTTCTGTAGCATCCAACACCGCTTGACATATTATTAGGTAAGTCTGTTCAAAGTTATCCGAATTAATTTAAGCACGTCGGTCCGTCTGTCCATCTGTCCATGCTTTCTTATGTACTATCAGAATTTTTCAGAGTCATTGAGGAAATTTTGATATATTTCCGTCTAAACATGAAAATTATTAAAAATGGACTATGTTGAGACTAACTCCCTTTATAAACAAATAAGTTGAATAGACTTCTTAATCGCCGGAAAACACTAACTGGGCTTACTAGGTACATATGGACTATTTCAAATCTCCACCTATATAAATGCTCTTGCATAAAATAAGATATCATGCAGCGCGGAAAATCCTCGAATCGGTCTCAATTTATGTGTAGTAAAGACGAGTCCTAAGTTCACGATTCGAATCATTTTTCATATCAACCTGCTTGCAATGTTTTTGCTAAATTTCAAATTGAATTTATGCGAACGTTTCACAGGGATGAACAGACAGATGGACAGACATCATCTTGTACGGCCTCTCAAGTCTGTCTTGGCATTGTAAATGCCATTAAATTAAACTTAAACTGTTTTTTTATAAATATATAATTAAGTATTAATAGATTATAATTTAAACTATTTCTCATATATAATATTAAAAAAAAAGAAAAAAAAAAGAGAACTTAAAAGCAACTAAACAAACATAAAGGAAACCCTAGTAACTTACTTTATAGACCTATAAATAGTAACCTAGACCTTTAAATAGTAATCTAGTGATGGTATTGCATTGCTAGAGATTTCCGTCCCATTTGTGAGTTCCATTGTTAGAGAGAAGAACAAGAATTACTTTTGAACTGCACTTCAATATGATAACGTTAAGAAGGTGACCATAAAGCAGTGATATATTCTAACTAAAACCTAAAGAAGGTCCCCGTGCAGGTACTATTAAAAGTGGAAAAATCTTGAGGTGGAAATACATAGTTCATATATACAAATCTCAATTTATAAAATTCCTGTCTATGGCTCTCGAATGTTCGATGAAGCTACTCCAATACTAATATTCATGATTAGGTGATTGATGTTAATATGTAGGTCAGTGTGAAAAAACAAAAAAGAAAAAAAACCTTTGAGAACATAAGATTAGTTATAGTGTAATTAGTAAAGTCCATCAACTCCTAGGTCTCAGGCTCTTTGCCATTAAGTCGATTTAAAGTTTTTCCCATTTACTTAATTATTCATTAATTATAATGACGCAAATTTCTGTTGCTTCCTCGGCATACGGTTTACGTGTACCTTAGAAAATTTGTACATGTACACATATGCCTTTTTATTTGCATGTGTGTGCACATTATTATTATAACGGATATAAGTGGTTTAACTTTCAGGTTAACTATGTCGTTTGCGTTATCCTTTTGATTTTCCTTTCTAAGCATTTATATACATTTTCCCTTTATCTTTAATTCATTTGAAAATTGTATAGAGAAATTATTGATTTTATTTCTATTTAAATATTGTATACATATATATATATATATATATATTAGATGACTTGGTCTTTACTATACTATCATTGTCTATATTTTTTTTTTTTTGTTTTTATTTTCAGGTTACGTTCAATAAACGTAAATTTGGTGTCATGAAGAAGGCCTACGAATTGTCAGTGCTGTGTGATTGCGAAATTGCTTTAATTATATTCTCATCGAATAATAAACTTTATCAATATGCCAGTACCGATATGGATAAAGTTCTTCTCAAATACACGGAATGTACCGAACCGCATGAATCAATAACTAATCAAAATATAATTGAGGTAAGTTTAATTTATAAATTCAAAAGTAACTCTTCAGATTTAATATTTAATTAAGGTAATCAAGCAATTTTTTGCCCTTCAATCTTTGAATAATCAATGTTGTACAGTGTTATGCTTGCAACATTCATGCGATGCAAAGTCCAGAAAAAAGTTTCAAATAACCTAAAAATATATATAAAATATATTCTTAATTAGCATCATATTTTGAGTGAATATAGGCAGTTCTGTCTGTCCGTATTTTTTTGGCTTTGTAATATGACCACTCAAGGCCAAAGGGCGTCGCCTATACATGTGATACGGCAACGGTTAGGAGAATAAGGCGAAAGTGGCCCTATCCCGGTGGTTCAACATTACCGACAAAGCGCTTTCTATAGCTAAGACCAATTATGGTGAAACCGTACTGACACTCGAATCCGCGAAGATCGACTTGGCAGTCGCCGCTCTTATCTATTCCGCAGTCCATGGATGACTGTGCGTCTGCTTGTAATAAGCATTGCAAAAATTAAGTTATCGGAGGCCGTTACCCATAGCTTGACACTACAATATAAACCAAGAACGCTTCCGTTTTCAAAAGCGAAAGTACTGCTCGTTGCTCATGAAGCACAAGAAATAGAGCGATAAAAATTTGTATATATATTCTATGGGTGCACCTATAAATAGGCTAAAAAACCGGTCATGCTCCATTCATTCGTTTCTTTTGTTCCGCTTTCTTTAAGATAAGAACATCGCCCATCATTAGGTACACTGTGCGCCAAACTACTGTTACTCACGTAACAACTTTTCAAAATAGGGCATTATATAGGAAGCGCTGGAAGAACTTTCAATAGGTTTTGTCCTTGGGTCGAAACGTGTCCGTTTACCAAAACTTTGCGCCCTATAGACTAGACATAAGAAAACAAGATTGGCCAATGAACTTACGAGCAGACAAGCTTAAATTGATTCGGCGCAGTAAAAGGTGGGTGTCCCTCTGGGTATCGCATAGATCCGCACAAACTTAACGTACCCTCGTACCACAAATGTCGTAGGGTATGTAACGTTGGAAATGTACAAAATTCCTAAGAACTTTCAGTACCAATCAGATAATGCGTCCACACCGCGTTATATTATATGCGGTATAGAATTTGATAGAAGGGTTCGTATAAACGTGTCCGTTCAAGAATGAAAAAGTTGCTTAGCTTCAGAAAGGGGTGAAATTCATGGGACCTGTGTATGCGCACCCATCTAACGGCGGACAACATACAAGACGGACGGAAGATGGACAAACAGACACATGTCGATTCAGAAAGTGATTCTGATCGATCGGTAGACTTCAAATCTCAAGTATGGTAGAGTTGTTAATAAAGCCGCTGGACTTAGATGCTAGTACTTTAAGACTTTGGCCTAGTTAATTATAATAATAATAGTAAAACCGATTCATCTCAAGTCCTTTTCGGTATTATACACATTCGCGTCAAACTTAGTATTCTGTTATACCATAGCTGATGTTGGACATGAAAAGAATCTGAACATAGTTAGCATAGTTAGTAACTTGTGATCTGCGACCATCTCGGTTGACTTAAGATCACCTTTCTTCCGTTTGTCCTCTTGTCACTCAAGTTCCGGTGTCACACACAATTTGTGCGCCTTTCTTTCACACTTTACCAGGAATGCTAATCTTTTAACGGCTATTTTATATAAAATTGGGATTCTTTAGAACTGAATTACTTCACTGATCTTCATGTACGCACGCGTTAGAAAGGTATTAGAAAAACCGTCTCGATTATCTACACCCTCTATAGTCGGCTCAAGCAAACTATTCATTGCTAACCCAAAAGCTTTGCTGACGTTCTTAATAGTGCCAGGGCACACAACTCACCTTAGTCTTTATAAAGTTACCTATAACTCAAGTTCGTTTACTTATCCGCACATCGTACCCTGCATTTAGAGTAATGTTTGATCCAAAAGCAAAGTCTTCCTTTTTTTCAGTTGCTATAGAAGCGATGTTATAAGTTTCTTGGAAATGTTCGATTGCTTTTCAACACAGTCACGATTGTTTTCATTGTTGATTTTATAATGTTTATGTTAATGCGTTTTATTAGCATTTCTCTCGCTAATGGATTTTATTGAAAGTTTCATATTTGTACTAGAAACTTGCATTAAACCAACACATTTTAACATACATCTATATTTATCCTAATTCTGTAGTACGCTGACACAAACCGTGACATTCCACTGACAAGGTATAATTGTTGGAAATATATTCCTTTTATTTAAATTTTATATCTATCCGTCATTGAAAGAGAGAGCGTATCAACGTCTAAAAATGCGGATCATAGACCAACTAAGTCATATACATATATATATAGGATTTTTCAACAAGAAGTGTCCGTTTAAGTTAACCAAGCAATAGAACAATTTTTGGCAAGTAATGACTTCCACTGATATCAGTTCAAAAAAAAAAAAAACATTTTTTCGAACATCGATCGGACGGAATTTAATAAACATATTACCGGATTACAGCACCAGCTTAAAAACTGCTTCGCTAATATTGCTCGTTACACTTAAAGGGTTTCTTCAACCTTGGCTCTTCCTTCGGAACGCCAAAATTGCACACTTGGGCTTGTTTTCGAAGCTGGAGACACCAATATAAACCTACTCACGCAAGACAAAAGTCAAAAAAATGTTGCAAAACTTAAAATATAGTTAGCTAACTTCCCGCGTTCTTTTATTTTCCTCCAGTAAGAAGTGCGACGAAGGTTGAGATTGATTCATGATTAATCTACGAGTCTGTGTATAAAAGACAAACAACTATAACTGATAACGTATACAGTGATCAAAAAGTAATAAAACCAAGTCTTGCTTAATTATTAATATTTGGCGCGGCGGGCCAAAATATGAATAAGGTGAAGTGTTATTAAAATATTATGCGTCTTTTTCGTGGGATTGTTTGCGATTATTGCGGGCAGACAATCCTTCGCATGGACATCAAGATAACGCTTTGCCTCTCATTCCATTGATTTTTCTACGCAGACTTCAGATTCGCGCAATACACGTAATTCTCTTTTTACACGCATTTTTTTGGGAACGAATTTATCGTGCAAAAAAGTACACGAAAGCACACCTTGATCTCTTTTTACGCGAATTTTTTTACACGAATTTTTTTGGAAGCGTATCCATCGTGTGAAAAGAGACTTAGACGTACTTTCGTTCCGCAACCATCATCTTATTGACCAGATTTTGCTCCATTTCCGAAATTTAAGGAAGTTGGTCTGAGAATATTATTTTGGAAGGTTTCGAAGACTGGGAGGAAGCCAACCGTATATTGTATTCCTTTAGGAGAGAGCTACTTTTAAAGAAATGAACTTAATTTGTTTCTTATTTAAAAAATTTTTTACATTTTGCCTGAAAGTATTGTTTCAAAGATTAATTACACCCTACATAGCTTGTGATCCAGGTAATATGAAGTTGATTCGTATGCATGGAAGATCTAGAAAGAATGAAAGTAGACTAGAGTTTTATTATATCGATCTATTCAGAATCATTTTCTCGCATTTCATCAAAACGTCTCAAAACATGCGGTTTATGAGTTGCACACAAACATACAAGAACAGACATCACTTCCTGCATCGATCTAAACTTGTCAGTCTGCTTGTTCATCTGCTATCAGAGGCACTTTTTGCATCGATCTAAAATTGTCTACCCGTTTGTCTTACTTTCCGTCTTGCTTACAATCTCTAAGTAGGAATTTTTCAAATATTTTAATGAAATTTGATGCACCCACGTATCAATCTAGGGTTGTCTGTCTGTCCGTCGATTTTGTTTTCTTTTGTTCAACTTTCAGCTGGCAATTTTTAAGATATTTTCATGAAATTTGATACACCGACCTATTTTGGCTCAAAGACGAACGCTATTAAAAATGGTTCGGATCGGGTCACTCTTTTGATTATTCGCCACAAAAAGCCTTATTTGTTAAAGTCGTTGTGTGGCTAACGTTATTAAGTATAGCGCTGGTGCATATGTAATGGTCGGCCCAAAGGGTTGTTTATTGTAGTCTTAAATGCTTTTTATTTTATATTTTTATGTAAATGTTTATAATTATTTTATAAAATAATTTTCGTAAATCTTTTTATTAATAATTATCTAAATTGTAAAAAATTTATAGATTCTATCTTCACCTTTCCAGAAGGAGAACAAAAATGGTGTCATGTCACCGGATTCGCCTGAACCGGAATCTGATGTGGTTACACCACGCACTGAAGCCAGATACAATAAAATCGATGAAGACTTTCAATTATGTATGCATCGGTCGCAAATGGCCGGCGGGACCAGCGCGGCACGTAATATGACAAATTCCAATTATACATTACCGGTGTCGGTGCCAGTGGCGGGCGCTTACGGTGATAATATGCTACAGTCCAGTCCGCAAATGTCCCACACAAACATCAGCCCACGACCATCGAGTTCGGAAACGGATTCAGGTGGGATGTCATTGATAAGTTAGTGTTGAATAAGAAAACCAATATATTATTGTTGTTGTTTTACTGTTGTATTATTTATGTTTATATTAAATATATTATTATTTTGTTTCTTGTGTTGTTGTTGTATTTCTATTTAAAAAAAAAAAACAACTTTTAAGTTTCTTTCTTAACCTTCGATTTTTAATTTCTTTTTTTAAATAGTTTTTGTTTAATTTTTAGCTTTATTTTATTTTTATTATTGTAATTTTTTCTTGTTAAATCATTTTTATTTCATTATTTTTAACCTTTGCACGTTTATTTATTTCAATTTTTGTTTTTGTTTTTTTTGTTTTTTTAATTTAAAGTATTTATAAATGATGTATTATTCACATACATATATAATTTTTCTTTCTTTTTTTCCTGTATTTTCATTTATTACAACACCATCAACATCGTCATCATCATCGTCATCATCATCGTCATCATCATCTTCATCGTCGTCGTTATCGTGTTTTTATTCACATTTCTTTTTATATGAAATTAAAATCAATTTCTAAACGTTTAATCATAAAAACAAAAACAACGTATTTAAAAACAAAACCAAAACGCCTACACATACATATGCATATATATAGTTTATCCATCGGGCTCCATGTTGGAGATGTCAAATGGTTATCCTCATTCACATTCGCCGCTTGTTGGTTCTCCAAGTCCGGGTCCAAGTCCTGGTATAGGTGGGCTTTAATTTTGTTTATTTATTTATTTATTTATTTAGTTTTTATAGTACAAAAAACAATATTTATATACATATATATAAAGTATACATTTTTTTTTTTAGAATTAACTAATTTATAACACATACATACTTTAAATAGCATGTTTAAAATTTCTCTCGATTTTTCATTTGTTAACAAATTGTAAAAAAAAAATTCGTTTTTTTTTTTTCTTTAATTTATTTGCGATAATTTTAATATTTTGAGTAAATGTGTGACTACACTATTATCTAGACAAGTTTGGTTCAGCGAGAGTAGAAGAAAATGGCGTATTAAAGAGTTGAATAAGCGAAGAAAGAAAAAAGAAGAAAGAAATAAGGGAATCGTATAGAACAACAACAATAGGATAGCAAAGGATCAATTAGAATATGATATGAGAAAGTGTTTGGAGAAGACCGAGTTGGACGCAAAAAGCAGCCGAATTGAGAATGATCGCGTTTACCAGGCAAAGGCTTAACATTTACAGATGTCTTTAGAGGTTTAAGGTTCGAATTTGGTTTGAAGACTCAAGCAAACGGCTCCCCTGGAACCATCGGCAATTCATCAGTTCAATTGGAGACCCCCAAGGGGTAAGACAATCCCCATTGAATGATTCCTTACCAACCTGAGGTATAGAAATAGAAAACGGGTCTAAGCCATTTTCTCGTTTACTCGACTCGATTTGCGTCGAGTTCTGTCTAAACACCTCTTAGATAGGGTAACCACAGCCAACACGAAGGGCCGTACCCAGCAGTCAAGTAAGAAGTCATTCCCTCGCCAGTCAGATGGGTAGTGTATCTTCCTGCCAGGCCAATCTGACCCCCAACGATACCCACGAACTTCATGACTTATCATTCAATCGTACAGAACTTGCGCCATGCTATGCAGCTTTAGGTGTCTGTCATCTAAACATCCTTTCTCTATCTTTTCTCGAGAAAATAACGCTTCCAAGTTTTCATCGCATAGTACACAGCCAACTACGCTACAGCCCTCTTAAATATCGCTGGCCATCAGGCAGTCTGATAACCTCTACAAGGGAGAAGAAATAAGCTTTCTTTCGATTAAAAAAAAGGGCTCTCTGCCGATACATCCTTCTTAGGCTTCCAGGTTATAGATAGCAAGCCTTAAACCCTTCTTTGCCATTGGCTGTGCGACTCTCGAAAGTGAGAGCTATAAAAGCAACAGTCAACATTTATAGGGAGCACCACAAAAAGGTGAGGGTTTCGGGACATCTATTTTCACCCAAGGAATCCCCGCAACAACATTTATAGATCGGTCAAACACCAAGTAGACTGCGGTCAACATCCTCTATCTCTCCCTATCTCTTTCTTTTTCGTCAATTCTGTCTTAACGGCTTCGCTTTATTAGGGCACATCAATAAGAGACATCCTCTGAGTGATTAGTCAAATTCAAAAGCAGTAAATAAATAAATAGAATAGCTCCTAAGAGTGTGACGGGAGATAAGAACACATAACATTAGTTAGCGTCGGTAGAGAAACGGTTAGAATAGAGCAAAATATAGTCGCATAATAGCGTAGATAGGAAACGGTGAGTTCGAGCATTACAAATGCTACATAAAACGGATAACAGGTACGAGAATGGAGTTGAGTATGCGATGATACATGAAATTATACTATAAGAAGGGATAGCTCTTAGAAAGAGATAGAGTGAAATAGCATACGACCAGAAGATCGATTACAAATAGTACAGCAGAAGGTGGATTAAAGGGGATAACATGTACGAGAATGGAGTTGAGAATGAAATGATATATGAAAGTAGACGACAAAAAGGGATAGCTTTTAGAAGACGATAGAGTAAAATACCATAGGACCAGAAGATCCGGCGGTGAAGTGGATAAATAAGAATTACATAGGCTCGCAAAGATTAAAAAAAAATAAAAGAGAAGTACGTCAGGATAGTTTAGATAATGTAGGATAGCATGGATTTGATCAGCATAAATAGAAACGCGAGAGAACTGCACTTAGCGTCGGAATAAAGAGTAGAACTGTTAAGAAAGTCATTAGAATTGTAAATGTGGGAAAGTCGTTAAGATAGACTTGATATGCCGATAACAGATTGCGTTCTACTTAAAAACATGTAGACTAGCATAGTTAAGAGTAGTGAGTGATACATGAGAAGAGAATAATGGCAAAGTTATAAAAAGAAAAAAAAAATAAATAAATAAGAAAAAGCATTCATCTTATTATCAATAACTTTTGTTTTTTTTTTTTTTTTGTTTATATTAGAAATAGTAATTAAAAATTTCAATACATTTATACGATCAACTATATATAATAGCATGTAATAAAATTAATAAACTAAAAACTAATTGAAAATTAATTGAATTCATAAATGGAAAACAAATCAAAAACATTCTAATATGAAACTTAAATATTTTGTTTCGAATAGCACATCAATTAACCCATAAACAACAACAATCACCCGGCAATCAAAACGGTCGAGCTTCCAACTTACGAGTAGTTATACCAGCACCAACTATAGCTCAAAATATGTCCACCGCAGATGAACTACATTATAATGATGTAAGTGAAAAATTAAAAGAAAATATTTTTATAGCCTACACCAGTTAAGCGGTATAAGAGTATATTAAACATATGCGGATGTTTGCAACATGCAGAAGGACTTGAGATAAACGCAAACTTTTGTAAACCGATTGATTCAATGTCACGTTCTGACACCTTCTAAGCTTATCTGTCCGTCCGTCTGTCTGTCCGTCTTGTTTTCTCTAGTATTCAATAAAAACGCCATCATTTTTAAAATATATCGATGAAGTGTGATAAACCGACCTGTTTGGCACCAACACGACGAACACTATTGAAAATCGTTTGGATTGCACCCGATTTTCAAGCACCGCTGATATAATATCTTATTTCGAAAACTCGTTATATGTCTAACTGCATTAAACGAAGCGGTGTAGGGTACTTACCGTTGGATCGTCTCCTACTATACAGTTTTTACTTATTTTTATTTAAAGCAATTTCATTTCGTATGCATTTATGTATTTTCAGCGTCATAACTCAAGCACTCTAAATACGCCAGTAGTAACTCTGCAAACGTCTATACCAGGTTTACAAGGCTATCCTTTTGTGCCGCAAGACTTCTCAATGAGTTCCTCCGACGTTATGAGTTTACCTACGTGGAGTACCCATCAAAGTCTAGTGCAACATACGGGGTAAGTTTTAAAAATACAGCATTTTTGCAAAAATTTCGATGCAACTACATTATTAAGTAAGAAAATTATAGTCGGTCGTGACGGAATCTTTTATACCCATCACTGTTATTCTAAAAACAAAGACAAAAAAAGTAAAAGAAGTACATTTTCGTGCCCTATAATATGGAGTGGGCGCGGCTGGTTTTGCCTATTTTCAAAATAAAAGTTTTTATTGCGTAGGCTTATGGGCGTTAGAGGCGTGTCCTTTGAAAAGCTTAGGTAATTTTCAAAGTCTTTTGGAAATTTGAAGGCGATATCTTCATTTTCACTCAAGGGAGTATGTTTACCGCAAAAACTGCAGACTGCCGCAGGCACACGAATGAACGGATTCGTGAATTTGAAACTAGCCACGAGTTCATAAACTTTATGGTGTTTTTAAAACTTCCTTCTGCGTCTGATAAAGATACTGAAAAAAAAATTAAATTTTACTACATTACAATATTACATAGGCGTGGTCATTTTTTTTCCATTTTTCTATATGTGCAATGTCGTCCGTAGAATATGCGTTTAAATTTTCAAATCCAAATTTTGGTTTGGGCCAAGGCGCACACCCTTTACCAAGCATCTACAAAATTAGTATAACTTGTATATGCAGTCGCGGAAATCAACAATGTATTGTAAAATCTTTGGATTTTTTATACCTTACACCGCTTGTGGTGCAAGGATATATGAACTTAGTATAGCTATATGAGTCTAGAAACCCTCGAGATACACCTACCTTTTATTATGCTGATCAATTCACAATCACTTCCTGAATCAATTTAACATTGTCTGTCCGTGTGTCTGTCTCGTTTCACTTCTTTTTTTTTTGTGCTCAACCTAAAGGGCACAGTTTTTTGTTTGAAAACGATTGAGATTGGAGTACTTCTTCGACCACTTCCCATATAACGCCTCATCTTGAAAAGCCATTATACGCATAATTGTGGGATGGTGTAAATCATTTGATGATGGATCGTAGTCTGCTGTAGTGTTTTACTTAAATAAATTACTTGTTTTTTTTTGTTTTTATTTTATATTTAGTTTATCTCAACTGACGGTTGCGAATAACTCACCACCTCCTGCCTCCTCTCCAGTCAATATTAAAGTGAAATCAGAGCCTCAATCCCCACCGCGTGATCTCTCCGGAGCTCATCAGCCAAATAATAATAACAGCTCTATTGTTAGTGCCGGCAACAACAATGGTAGCAATCATATTGTTGGCTCTCTAGCAGGCACAACAAGTGGATCAAACAATATCTTAGGTACGATTAATGATTTAAGCAATACACTGTCCATTACCACGACGCTGAGTGTCAGTGGTAGCGATATAGGTGGGGCAAGCGGGATGGGTGTAATAGCAGGTAACGGTCCAGGCGGAGGTTGCGGCACAACGACAACATGCTCGAATGGTTCTGCCAATGATCAAGCCACTAATTTAAGTATTTTAAATCATCCGCAACAGCATCTGGTTATGCCAACTTCAAGACCATCATCAACGGGTCATCTAACGCCCACACCAGGTAAACATTAATCGCACATTTACTTAATTCTTATAATGATTTTAAAGTTTGTTTTTTTTTTTTTTTTTGTTTTTATTTTGAACGCAAGCTTTTAAGAGAATAATATATAATAATAATAATAATATTAATAAGGCGCGCCCTAATTACACAAAAAATGCTCTAATCGATTATTAGCTTAATTAATAAAAATATTTTTCCGATGCAAAAAAAAAAAAAAAATGCGTTTATAATTTTTAACACGGCTAATAATCTATTAACTGAATAATAATAGTTAAGACACTTTTAAAATATTTTTCAATTTTTTTTTTTTTTTTTTTTTCTTTTAATTCATAATATCTTATGAGATTAACAATAGAAAGATTTTTTCAATTTATCTACCGCAACTTTTAATGCTAATATAATAAATCAATAGAAACGAGAATCTCGCCGTATACCGTTCGCTCACATTCATCACATTGTCACGTACCATTGCACTAGTGCCGAGTGTATGAGTGTATGAGTGCCATTGAACTTAACTTTGTAGATTGTTTTTAAGCCGGCAATTATTCTCTTAAGTAGATAATAGGGAATTGAATTGAATGTTATAGGATGTTTATATTGCAGATGACCAAGATCCTTAGAAAAAAAGATAATGAAAATGAATATTGTATCG